CCCCCCCCCACACACACCCCCCACACCCCCCCCCCCCCCACCCCCCCCCCCCCAAAAAAAACATGTCTACCGTCCCATTGCAAGAAAACCACTTTTTAGATTAGACACATTAATTAGGCGGTAATTTTATTATAGAGTATCGATGAGGAAATTTCTTTTGAGTTGGGGAGGGGGGGGGGGGGGGCTCAGACGTTCTTACGCGGGGGGTGGGGCTTCGCCCCTACCCGAAGAATTGTATGCAAGAAACTCTTCACGCAAACCATTTAGATTAGACAACATTTCCTTTTTTAATTCAATGTTTACGCGATAATCAATGACGTCATATGACTGTGTGCACTCTCTGGTTTGAGATTATGTTCTACTCTGCGCTAAATGTGTCGACGTCATACTTCGTTTTTCGAAATACTATGCATGTTTTTAAATTGCTTGTGTTTTCTCTAGAGCGTTCTTGTCAGACAGAGCGTTCTTGTCAGATAGACAGACAGACAGCGAAACTATTAGTATTAATTCTACATTTATGTAAATAAAACTACTACGGTTTCAATTCAAAGACGACATCAATCTACAGATATATACATATACGTAAAGGGCTAGATACAAACTATTTACTAAAAAAAAAACAACTAAAAAAAAAAAAGATCAATAACACTTTAAGAAAACAATTTAACAAACGTTCACCTGAACAAATGGAACTATTTTACATCTCAGACGTCTAACAAATGGCATCCACAAACATAATAACTTTTAGCTCTTTTAGTTGTTTTTAAACCTTTTTTTTTTTAAAGCCAGTCTCGGCGTCTCGTTTTGGGTTTTCCGTAAAGCCGGGAGGGAGGGGGGGGGGGGGTGGATAATGGAGAAGCAAAGATTGATGGATGGTTTCTCAAATCTAGTGTGACTTCATCTGCCTGTCTAAGTACTCTCCAGGAACGCGGAATTAATTGCTCGCTCGGTGCCAAGCACCGGCGAGATGAAAGGCGAACGGCAGGGTGGGCCGAGGGGCTGTCAGTTGCTGTGTTTGCCGGGCAGACGGCTGTCAGGGGCTGACAAGCCGGGGGGAAATGGAGACGCTTGAAGCAGCCGGGGCCAGACGGAGAGCAGCCAATCTGAAGGGGGTTCCACGCTCCCGGGTATCGCCATGTTTATTATGAGAAAATCCTCGCTTGATTATAAATGACGTACCCTGACAGGTTTCACTAAGGGAGAGGGGCGATGATGGGTGGATTAAAAAAAACAGGTAACGGGTGAGGGGGGGGGGGGGTTAGGAGGTAACGCGCACTAGAAAAGCTGCATACCATCACATTCTATTACTTAGGTTTTTTTTTCTTCCTTTCCTTCTTCGTCACGTGGTACCCGTATCTTTTAACGCGGAACACGGGTTACAGGGGTGAGAGATGCACGTGAGTGTGTGCGCTACAGCCAGCTGACGTGTGAGCCGAAGTTATGAAAATGCCTTTCAGTCGGTTCTAAGTTGGGCGGTGAGTGGAAACTTCAGGGAGGAAGTGACGTCCGAAGTGGGTGTTTATTTTTAGAACTGTCCTCACGTGACTCGGCGATAATAAACATGGCTGGCTCATGTTGCGCGCATCTTGTCAGGGTTTGTGTGTGTGTGTGTGTGCGTGTGTGTGTGTGTTTTGCATGTGTGTGTATGTGTGTGTATGTGTGTGTGTTGTGTGTGTGTGGTGTGTGTGTTGCGCGTGTGTGTGTTTGCATGTGTGTGTGTGGGGGGGGGGTCGGTTGCGCGCGTGTGTGTTTTGCGTGTGTGTGTGTGTGTGTGTGTGTGTGTGTGTGTGTGTGTGTGTGTGTGCGTGTGTGTAAACTTATGACAAACGGCAGGTGCTTCGAGTCGCGCATGTGCTGGGTTTAAACTGAAAACTAAAAAAAAATGTAAAATAATTATTCTACAAATTGTGATGGAAGCATGATCGAGTCGGCAAAGCTCATGGTTGATAAATTCGAAAAAAGTCTCGAGTTCAAACCCTCTTGCAGATAAGGCTCGATCCCTCCCAACACTAAAAATCAAGAACGAAGAAGAAGAAAGATTCTACAAAGCAAAATAGGAAAGGGCTGAGAAAAAGCTTGGCACCAGCATAAATTATGTTAATGAGATTAGAATGTGATGTTTTAAGACCTTGAACTTACGAGTAGAAATAATATTTGTGGGCTTTAGTGGGCTTGAGTGTGCGGGTTTTGGTGGGCTTGTGTGTGGGTTGTGGTGGGTTTGAGTGTAGCTAATTGTGTGATAATGGAGGATACTGTACCCAGTGTTTCTTTCAGAGTTTTTTCTCCGGGGGGGGGGAGAGTTGGCACTGGGGGTGGGGAGGGGGAGCGGACTAAATTATCCGGGGGAGGGGGGCGGACACTGGTAAAAGTATATATTTTCTATGTAAATTCTGTTTCGTTCGGGGGGAGGGGAGGGGGTAGTCGTTTTTCAGGGGGAAGAGATGCCTGAAAGAAACCCTTGCTGTACCCTCGTCGATCTCCTGCAATTCACGTGACCAGCATTATTTCTCATCACCAAAACATGACCTCAGCACCTCAGTACCTCAGCATCTGAGTACCTCAGTACATTAGAACCTCAGCACCTCAGTAACTTACCTACCTATTATGACTTAATTGGACCTCACTAGCACATATTCAAAACTCTGATGTGTTTACACCATCCCCACCACCTCCATCCTCACTAACTTTTTACCTGACCCTTTCACTACATCACATCCCACACCTCACACACATCACCTTTCACTACCTCACCAACATCACCCACCTCTAACTACCTCACCCCACCTCTAACTACCTCAAACTACCTCACCTACCTCACCCCACCTCTAACTACCTCACCCCACCACTAACTACCTCACCTACCTCACCCCACCTCTAACTACCTCACCTACCTCACCCCACCTCTAACTACCTCACCTACCTCACCCCACCTCTAACTACCTCACCTACCTCACCCCACCTCTAACTACCTCACCTACCTCACCCCACCTCTAACTACCTCACCTACCTCTCCCCACCACTAACTACCTCACCTACCTCACCCCACCTCTAACTACCTCACCTACCTCTCCCCACCACTAACTACCTCACCTACCTCACCCCACCTCTAACTACCTCACCTACCTCGCCCCACCTCTAACTACCTCACCTACCTCAGCCCACCTCTAACTACCTCACCTACCTCACCCCACCTCTAACTACCTCACCTACCTCTCCCCACCACTAACTACCTCACCTACATCACCTCACCTCTAACTACCTCACCTACCTCACCCCACCACTAACTACCTCACCTACCTCACCCCACCTCTAACTACCTCACCTACCTCACCCCACCTCTAACTACCTCACCTACCTCACCCCACCTCTAACTACCTCACCTACCTCACCCCACCACTAACTACCTCACCTACCTCACCCCACCTCTAACTACCTCACCCACCCCAACCCTTCACTACCTCATCTCACTAGCCTCACTCCACCACTGTCCATCCCAAAACACCCATCTCACCCCCCTCCCCCACCTCTAACTACCCCATCCACCTCACCCGTTACTACCTCATCTCCCTAGCCTCTCCACCACCGTCCATCTCAACCCCCACCCACATCTCCTAACCCCCACATGTCTCCCCCAATTTGACGCCCACTCCCAGCCCATGACGAGAGAACCCCTCCGGCACCGTTCTGGCACTCGACAAAACTAAACCAGTTACTGTCGATTTGCCGAGGAAGACCAAAAAGAAAAATCTCCACTGGAATTGTCTTGGAGGGCAAATTGAGTTGGCTCCCCTGTGAATGTGTATTAGCAGCCGGTAGTCAGGCTGTCCACGGAACAGCCGGCCAATGAATAGGTTCTGCCGGGTAGCAGATTGTCCTCCCAATGTCCTGTCACTGTCCTATGTCAGTCCTGTTTTATTACGTTGGAAAGCTCAGCCAATTGGGTGATGGCGGAGAATATAGCAAAATAAATTGCACGTTAGAGAAAGTAAATTGGATCATGATTTAGGCAGTTGAAGCAGAAAAATCATTCAAAATCCACAAGAAACACAACATAATTATTTTGAATTCATGTCGTCGTCTGAATGAAGAATAAAATAAACAGTTCCTATAATAACATTCTAAGAAATAATAGTAGGGAATCGATTTTTTAAATTATTGGTATCGTTGTGAGGGCGTAGTTGGATGGGGATGATGGTTACAATACAATAAGGGTAAGGTATAGGATTAGAGTTTAGGCAAGGGTCTGATGCAGTGGCATAGCGAGGTCGGGTGTCACCCGGTGCGGTCCGCACCCCCCGCCCCCCTCGCTACGCCCCTGGTCTGGTGTGGTTTTGGTCTGTCTGTGACTTGTTGATGGTTAAAATATCAGGTCTGCCCATGCAGGAAAATTCAATTTAATTTGGAATGAGTCAGAACGTAAATCAACAAGCTAAGCGATTCTATAAAATATCATTATTTGCATTCAATTAATCCTGAAGTATGGTCACCAGTCGAGATCTTTACATAATAATCCTCCCTTCCCCACCCTCTAAGATCTTAATTTAAACAATGACAGCTGTATCGCTATAATGTAAGCTATTAGAAACATAATGTTCGTAGAACTTGTATTACTTTCTTATAATATAATAAACTTTTATTCATACCATCAATAACAAAATTTGGAAAACTCAACTGAATAGCATTTTGTTATTTAATTTTGTTTTCTAGCTAGTTTTTTTTTGTTTGTTATATAAAATCTTACTTTTATTCTTTTTTTTTTTAAATTGATTTTAATGTTTAAAAAGCTTAACATGACTTACAAATTAATATAGCTAATTAATCATTAATATTCAGCTTTTACAGACCTATGATACCTATTACACTGTTTGACAACAAGATTTGTTGAAAAATCCCATCACTTATATTTGATTTATATTTAGTGCGACGACGTGTATAGAAACGGGTTTTCCCTAAACTACCTTACCTACCGCACCACACCGCACCGTTTCTGTGCATGCGAATTCAATGACGGGGTTAAATTTAGACAGCACACATCAACATCGTTGTGCTTGAAACCTGTTTCCATCATTCCAACAGCCTAGCAAGTAAAGAATGAAACAGCCCTGTCCAAATCACGATGTAGGCTGTTGTTCTCCAACTCCCGACCGCGTCTTTTGTTTCAAGAATTGAGAATGAAAAATCACAAAAACTGTAGATTGGACGTGCTGGTACCTACACAGACGGCTGGTATTCCTGGCTCCCCACCTTGGCAAAGAAACAAGCGACGATAAAACAGCAGCATCTAGCCTGTCCATGCGAGATTCATCAATGAGGAAGGGGTCGAAGGGGAAGAAGGAGCAGGCGCGTAAACAGATCAACAACTCGCAGAACAATTCCGTGTATCAGATCCGGACAAACCACCATCGGAATATTCATTCCGGCAAGGATGAGGAGAAGGTAAGGAATGGTTTGGGTGGTGGTTTGTGTGGGTTGAGGGGGTTAATGGGGTTTATTGGTTGTTTTTTTAAATGGAGGATGGTTTCTGTGGGGTTTGATTGGAGTTTTACTAGAATTTAAGATTGCTGTTTAGAGATTTGTCTTGGGTTTTCTGTTGGAAATAAGTGCGGTTTGTGTGGGGGATTTAGTGCAGTTTGTGTGGGGATTGAGGGCGATTTGTGTGAGGTTTATGTGTGAGTTGGATTATGGTTTGTGGAAAGTTTTGGTTTCTGTTGATTGTAAATGTTGGCTGTTGATAATGGCTGTTAGATATTGCTGTTGGAGTTGACTTTAGAAGTCAGCTGTTGGTGATGACTTTAAATGTCAGCTGTTGGTGATGACTTTAGAAGTCAGCTGTTGGTGATGACTTTAAATGTCAGCTGTTGGTGATGACTTTAGAAGTCAGCTGTTGGTGATGACTTTAAATGTCAGCTGTTGGTGATGACTTTAGAAGTCAGCTGTTGGTGATGACTTTAGAAGTCAGCTGTTGGTGATGACTTTAAATGTCAGCTGTTGGTGATGACTTTAGAAGTCAGCTGTTGGTGATGACTTTAAATGTCAGCTGTTGGTGATGACTTTAGAAGTCAGCTGTTGGTGATGACTTTAGAAGTCAGCTGTTGGTGATGACTTTAGAAGTCAGCTGTTGGTGATGACTTTAAATGTCAGCTGTTGGTGATGACTTTAGAAGTCAGCTGTTGGTGATGACTTTAGATGACGGATGTTGGTGATGACTTTAGAAGTCAGCTGTTGGTGATGACTTTAAATGTCAGCTGTTGGTGATGACTTTAGAAGTCAGCTGTTGGTGATGACTTTAGATGACGGATGTTGGTGATGACTTTAGAAGTCAGCTGTTGGTGATGACTTTAGAAGTCAGCTGTTGGTGATGACTTTAGATGACGGATGTTGGTGATGACTTTAGATGACGGATGTTGGTGATGACTTTAGATGACGGATGTTGATGATGACTTTAAATGACGGATGTTGGTGATGACTTTAGAAGTCAGCTGTTGGTGATGACTTTAGATGACGGATGTTGGTGATGACTTTAGAAGTCAGCTGTTGGTGATGACTTTAAATGTCAGCTGTTGGTGATGACTTTAGATGACGGATGTTGGTGATGACTTTAGAAGTCAGCTGTTGGTGATGACTTTAGATGACGGATGTTGGTGATGACTTTAGATGACGGATGTTGATGATGACTTTAGATGACGGATGTTGATGATGACTTTAGATGACGGATGTTGGTGATGACTTTAGAAGTCAGCTGTTGGTGATGACTTTAGAAGTCAGCTGTTGGTGATGACTTTAGAAGTCAGCTGTTGGTGATGACTTTAGAAGTCAGCTGTTGGTGATGACTTTAGATGACGGATGTTGGTGATGACTTTAGATGACGGATGTTGATGATGACTTTAGATGACGGATGTTGGTGATGACTTTAGAAGTCAGCTGTTGGTGATGACTTTAGAAGTCAGCTGTTGGTGATGACTTTAGAAGTCAGCTGTTGGTGATGACTTTAGATGACGGATGTTGGTGATGACTTTAGATGACGGATGTTGGTGATGACTTTAGATGTCAGCTGTTGGTGATGACTTTAGATGACGGATGTTGGTGATGACTTTAGATGACGGATGTTGGTGATGACTTTAGAAGTCAGCTGTTGGTGATGACTTTAGATGACGGATGTTGGTGATGACTTTAGATGACGGATGTTGGTGATGACTTTAGAAGTCAGCTGTTGGTGATGACTTTAGAAGTCAGCTGTTGGTGATGACTTTAGATGACGGATGTTGGTGATGACTTTAGAAGTCAGCTGTTGGTGATGACTTTAGAAGTCAGCTGTTGGTGATGACTTTAGAAGTCAGCTGTTGGTGATGACTTTAAATGTCAGCTGTTGGTGATGACTTTAGACGTCAGCTGTTGGTGATGACTTTAGATGTCAGCTGTTGGTGATGACTTTAGATGACGGATGTTGGTGATGACTTTAGAAGTCAGCTGTTGGTGATGACTTTAGATGACGGATGTTGGTGATGACTTTAGATGACGGAAGTTGACGTCAGCTGTGGGTGATGACTTTAGATGACGGAAGTTGACGTCAGCTGTTGTTGATGACTTTAGATGACGGAAGTTGACGTCAGCTGTTGTTGATGACTTTAGATGACGGAAGTTGACGTCAGCTGTTGTTGATGACTTTAGATGTCAGCTGTTGGTGATGACTTTAGAAGTCAGCTGTTGGTGATGACTTTAAATGTCAGCTGTTGGTGATGACTTTAGATGACGGATGTTGGTGATGACTTTAAATGTCAGCTGTTGGTGATGACTTTAAATGTCAGCTGTTGGTGATGACTTTAAATGTCAGCTGTTGGTGATGACTTTAGAAGTCAGCATTTGGTGATGACTTTAGAAGTCAGCTGTTGGTGATGACTTTAGATGACGGATGTTGGTGATGACTTTAGAAGTCAGCTGTTGGTGATGACTTTAGATGACGGATGTTGGTGATGACTTTAGAAGTCAGCTGTTGGTGATGACTTTAGATGACGGATGTTGGTGATGACTTTAGAAGTCAGCTGTTGGTGATGACTTTAGATGTCGGCTGTTGGTGATGACTTTAGATGACGGATGTTGGTGATGACTTTAGATGACGGATGTTGGTGATGACTTTAGATGACGGATGTTGGTGATGACTTTAGATGACGGATGTTGGTGATGACTTTAGATGTCGGCTGTTGGTGATGACTTTAGATGTCGGCTGTTGGTGATGACTTTAAATGTCAGCTGTTGGTGATGACTTTAGAAGTCAGCTGTTGGTGATGACTTTAGATGACGGATGTTGGTGATGACTTTAGAAGTCAGCTGTTGGTGATGACTTTAGATGTCGGCTGTTGGTGATGACTTTAGATGTCGGCTGTTGGTGATGACTTTAAATGTCAGCTGTTGGTGATGACTTTAGAAGTCAGCTGTTGGTGATGACTTTAGATGACGGATGTTGGTGATGACTTTAGAAGTCAGCTGTTGGTGATGACTTTAGATGTCGGCTGTTGGTGATGACTTTAGATGTCGGCTGTTGGTGATGACTTTAAATGTCAGCTGTTGGTGATGACTTTAGAAGTCAGCTGTTGGTGATGACTTTAGATGACGGATGTTGGTGATGACTTTAGAAGTCAGATGTTGGTGATGACTTTAAATGTCAGCTGTTGGTGATGACTTTAGATGACGGATGTTGGTGATGACTTTAAATGTCAACTGTTGGTGATGACTTTAGATGACGGAAGTTGACGTCAGCTGTGGGTGATGACTTTAGATGTCAGCTGTTGATGATGACCTTAGACGTCAGCTGTTGTTGATGACTTTAAATGTCAGCATTTGGTGATGACTTTAGAAGTCAGCATTTGGTGATGACTTTAAATGTCAGCATTTGGTGATGACTTTAGAAGTCAGCATTTGGTGATGACTTAGAAGTCAGCTGTTGGTGATGACTTTAAATGTCAGCTGTTGGTGATGACTTTAGATGACGGATGTTAATATCGGCTTCTGGTAGTAGTGAGTAAAGTCCCCTTTTCAAACCTGACTTTCTATAGCAAGTGAAGTAGAGTTTACTTGTTTTTGTGACCTCGGCATATGAAGAGATAGTGTGGTCAGCACTATGCCCAGCCACCTTTACTTTCCCAACCGTAAGTTAGGTACCCATCAGAGTTGGGTGGATTCAGGGACGGTCTACTGACTTGAACCCGGATACGAACTCGAGGCTTACGGGTTAGCAGTCCAGCTCTCTACCGCTCCGTCGGCTGCTGGTGATGGTGTAAAAATATGCTGGTGCAGCTGATCAAACATAAAACATTAATTTCAACCATGTTTTTCAACAAAACCCAGACTCTATAAGCTAATAACAAAATTCAATCTATAAACAATAACAAACTTAAGGGCTACTGTATCGCTAGGTTAGTTTTCATCAAATTATTCTCTATTCTATAACACTACAAAACATATCAACATAACACTTACGTTGACTTGTATCTTTGTCATTTCTTGTAATTCCAGGCACTAAATAAACCCAATATAATCTGGATCGTACCAGACAACAAATCGTCCCCTCCCCGGGCAAAAGTCGGGCCTGAGGTGGACGCCTGTCGACACCGGTCTAGTGACATCAGTCTAGTCAAGACCCTCTCGGATCAATCGAGCAACGAAAACGAGCAAAAGACCAACAACGCTATGCTAAGACAGCGTGGCCGGCGTAGGTATGACGTAGCCAACGACTACCCTTCAGAGTTCGAGCCTCGATGTCCGAACGTTTCCGCACGCGCACTGCGTAGCCTCTTGAACGACCAGCAATACGATGGGGAAGGTCTGACCAAGCAGTTCTCCAAACGCAGTGACCGGAAACACAAGAGAAGCGTCCCCTGGGATATCCCTCCCAACGGCGACGATAGCAACACTAGTATTGAACAATTCGAGACCAACAACCGGTCAAATTACCTCTTCCCGCCGGAGAAAAAACCTACCAACACCTCGCTTCCTCACAAGAGCAGGTTCAGCGCCGGACGTGATAAAATTCTTCCAGAAGATTGTAGCTTAGAAGACGAAGGCTTTGAGGACCTTGACACGTGGCGGTTGTCCGCCGATTCTATAAATGGCCGCGGCAGCAGGAAGAGATTGCGGGACAACATCCCCAGCATCGCCACCATGGCGTCCAGCGACGACTGCAACACCATCCCGTCGTCGTACAGCCACATCAAAAGCCAGGAGAATTTCCAATCAAGACGACTTGCCAGATCAAGCATGCAGCCATCTGACATCTGCGGCCGATATAAAAAGTCTTACTCCAGCTGTTACTGCCCCAACCCACAGTGCCGCCTTTCCGACAATGTCACCTGCGCTTGCTGTTCCAAAACAGACACGATAAAAAAAAATTCCACTTTATACGTCTGCGAGAAAACGCCATCATGCGATTCCTTGACGTCCGTCTACAAAGGTCGAAAAGCTCTACCAGGGGAGAATATGCAGATGGTGTACACCGTCTCTCCCACACCAGCTGAGTCTCCAGGAGGCTCCATCATAGACAGAAACTTTTGTGAGCGTCCCAAAACATGCTGTAAAAGTAAAACGTGTTGCTGCCCGTACGGGAAAAAATCAACGTGCGACCCTTGCGAAAGTCCCCAAATCGGGACCTACATTTGCCGACCTCACAAGGTCAAGGATATCAACGTTACGCAAACAGCCAGCGACCTTGCCCTACGCTGCGGTAGAGCGCTCACCTGTACGAAGAGTCTCCTGTGCCGGCAGAACGGCTGCGGTTTCGTGAGTTTCAACTGCTTCAACAACTTCGCGCCGCGTCTGCTGCACTTCCTGCTGTCCACCATCCGCTACCTCTTCATCATCTTCGTCTACATCTTCGTCCTGTGGCTGCTCAAGCTGTACACCTCGGTCAACCACTTCTCTCACCTCACGCTTATGTTTACCGACATCCTCCTGCTCTTTATCCTCATCTTCAAGCCTGATTGCCTTCTCATTTACTTTTTAGGCTCGAACTAATTCGCGCACACAAGTCAACATCATAATATCAGCAGCGAAATATTTCAAACTTTATTTGGGGTTAACGTATTTTGTAGAGGAATATTTATTGCGGGGTGGAGAAGTTTTAAAAGAAAAATGCCGTCATCAATCATGTCAAGCTCTAGAGACTCCCTGTTAGAAGACACGTGTCACTCCTCTGTTGTGTCCGGTCATGGTTCTGATGTCCAACTACGCCAATCTCCCGTAGGTAGTTTATTGCAAAGAAGAAGTCGTTCTCAAAGTCCTACCATGGAATATCCATCAGCAATGTGTACTAGCAGTTGTGCCCAAAGACCTTCCATGAACAATCCTTCAGCATTGTATAGCGGCAGTTGTTCCCAAAGACCTTCCATGGACAATCCTTCAGCATTATATAGCTGCAGTCGTCCCCAAAGAATTTCTGTAGACAATATATCAGCATTGCTTGGAAGCAGTCATTCTCAAAGGCCTTTCATGGAAAATACATCAGCATTGTATTGCAGCAGTCATTCTCAAAGGCCCGGCACCGAGCGATTATCGGAAAATTATTTAAACACGCCTCATCAGGGATCTACAAGAGAACATTCGCCATCCTTTTTTAGATCCACATCACCCGTGAAATTTTTCCAAGAACCTTCGCCATCCACCTATGGACATTCATCATCTGTAACCTTTTCCCGTGAACATTCGCCATCCATGTGTACAACCACAACATCCATACCATCTTCGTGCGAACATTCACCATCCTCATATGGGTCCACACCACCTTCGAAATATTTGTGCGACTTGGTCCCGAAATATTGTAGAGATATTTCACGAGAATGTTCTATACACAATTCAACTTCCGGGTATTTCACAAGCCCTTCCCATAAATCATCAATGAAAGCCGCACCGTCCAGACATTTGAGCGACCATGATGGGGAATATTCCAGAACAAACGATATTGCAAGTTGTAATGGTGCCACAACTTCCAGATATGTAGGCAAACCGTCATGCTCTAAAAACTCTTCACCAAGATACGTGAGCGGCCATAACCATGATATTTGTGCCCCAAACGTAGAAGCCTGTTATTCAAGTTACCCAGCCGAACTGGCATCCACAGAGAAAGTAAAGCCAAAGAAATCGTCCCTTAAAAAATCTTCTTCAAAACACTCGAATGGCCCCTCCCATGATTTTTCTTCAGAAAACGCTCACTCGAGTTATTCAAACTACCCAGCAGAACGCTCATCCAGCGACCATTTGAGAGTGAGGTATTCAGAGAACCCTCCCCTCAGTTGTTCTTCTGACGACCTCCACTGTAGACGACCAAGGAACGCTTCTTCCGCCTCCACCAACGGAACCTCACAAGCAAGTCATTCTGGGGTCTCCTTAGAGGGGTCGTCCAGTGAAAATCTACCTATCCGATATTTTTGCACAGCCAACGCGGGATTCGTTCCCACTACTGGCATTCAGAGGATTCCAAAGTTTGATGGCAGATGTTGCCTTTACTGGCCATGGAGCAGAAGCACGTTGCTGAATCTTTTCTCTAAGCTTTTGCTATATCTAATGATAGTCTTGCTCTATTGTCTTGCCTTGTATGCCCTCATCGCCTACGCATCAATGAACGTCTTTTCATGCTTAACGCTCCAGATTGTCGACATCCTGTTGTTGTTTATGTTATTTTTTCAACCAGATTTGTTAATCTATCAACTATTTCAGGGTTGAGGCTTGTAGGCTTTGAGGCTGCTTAATTTACCCGTCAATCCATTACAAAATAGTGCTAAGCCTAGAGACTGCCTAATTTACCAGCCTCTATAGTACAAGAGAATGCTAAGCCTAGAGACTGCCTAATTTACCAGCCCATCTATTACAAGAGAATGCTAAGCCTAGAGGCTGCCTAATTACTCAGCCCTTGTAAAGAAGATGCCATTTTGAGGCTTACCTTTCACTAAAGAAGTCGAAGCGTAGTTCCAGCCCTTTAGACTAGAGGCTGATGATTGCGGGTAGTCCATCCTAAGTAGTCTAAGTCGAGACTAGACGCTGCTCCTTGCTTGTATGTAAGGCTACTACTTTAGTGGCGATCTACGACTGTCATTGAAACAGGTGCTGTTTCACGCTTCCGTCTGACCAGTTTAGAAGCTGGAGTTGATCTATGGGCGTTCATATGTGGGAGCTGGAGGAAGCGGTCAAATAACGGCTCTCTATGCTATGGAATTTTTTTCTTCTTGGGTAAATAAACATCACCCCTGTCAAAGTCGAATAAAGAGAAATCATGTTTGATTATAAATATAATGCTGAAATAAACATCTTATTTTGGGAAACAATGTCTAAAGTACACTAAAGGACACCAAACAAAATAAATATTGTACTTTTTTTTATTAATGAATCATCTTGAAATAATGAGTTAAATAATGTTTTACTTTCTGTTTTTATTTTATTTTCGTTTTGTATTTTGTAGAAATTATAATTGGACGAAAAAATTTCAAAATAAGAGGAAAAATAAACAGTAAGGGTAACTGGCTATGGAAATGGTAGGAAAGTATGTGACATAGCCGCTACTTTTTTGAGAAAAAAACATTAAAAGGAATGGTTTTTAACTTGCTCCTTTATAAGAATATGAGAAACCGGAATTTAAAAAATCACTTCCGATTATCGTAAATCGCATAATTTAACAGAAACCTACTTATAAGACAGATTATTTACAAATGAAATTTCGTCTTCCTTACTGAAATGGTACCCAAATTAGTGGTATCTTAAAAAACGGCAATAAAGTATCACTTCCGGTTATCGGAAATCACAAAGAAAATAGAAATAAATCTAAGTAAAGAATTTTTATTAACTGTATGTTAGTTTTTCTACGTAACCGAAACGGTATACAACGGATTTTGAGTAAACGGAAATGTACCACTTCCGTTTACTGGAAACATTTAAAGTTAATAGGGACACATGAATAGGTTCTAAAATCTATTTATGATCCACCTAATTTAAAAGATACTCAAGTTATCGTGTCCATACATACAGACACGATATCAAATCTATCATTTCACATCAGGGAAGGTGTAAAACTTAGAGATTTGCGAGAAAAAAATCTCGATTTCAATATTTTGCACGATTACAATACTTTCCATATTTTTTGTATACAAGAAATTAAGAACGAATTTTTTTTGTAAATGTTTATCGGTTGCAAAATCAAACATCGGACGAAGAAAAAAAACTATACGTAAACAGCAGGTTTCATTTAAGCCGACAGTAAAAAAGGATTTGAAGAATTCTTCTGTCACAGAAACCGTTCTTCAATAATGCAGTTTTTTTTAAAACCAACAGCTTTCTAGGCGAGCCTTAGAAGAAGTGCAGGAGAGGGTCGGGGTGGAGGGGATGTTGAGTGATGCCCGCAGTAAAGAAGTGTTTAGTGTAGAACCGCGACTGTAGGTGGACAAGTCCGGTTCTCTAATGGTCTGCGCAAGCGCACGATTTATCTGCCCCTGGCGCACCCTGCAAAAAGCTCGCGCCGGATTGCCTCGAACCGCGCGCCGTAAATCTTTCCCCAGCGTCATCTTTGCAGCCGGAAGAAGCCGGCGTAAGCTGACAAGACACATTAAGCAGCCGGCAAGTGCAGTATTCTGCAGTCCCCGGTCTGACACCGCTTGAAGGCACGACCTCCCGCCCTTAAATAACCGGGGAGGGAGGATTTTAAAAAAAAAATCTATACACTCGCTATTTTACGGGTCGAAATCCGTCGTTGAAAGCTTCAAATGCGGGTAGTTTATTTCTGATCGGTGTATCAGGATCAGGCGGTGGGCAGATTACTTTTCTGGCGCGGCACGATTCATGTCGGGGAGATGGAACTTTGGCGAGGGAAAGTTGTAAATTGAAGATTTTCTTGAATATAAACCAGAGCTGTGACAGCACCCCTGTGATGATTTACTGCAATCGTGTTGATGGACTGCACGGGGAGAAATTAGCAGAGAATTTATTTTTTAGCTAGCAAGAACGTGGTGGGAACTGCAGAAATAGGAACATTTAGATATAAAGTATATAAGACGAGTAGAATAATCTCATGACTAAAATGCTTGGATGTGCATGTGTTTAATATTATTAAAATGTTTTACTTTTATATATATATATATATATATATATATATATATATATATATATATATATATATATATATATATATATATATATATATATATATATATATATATATATACATCTATATTTCATATATATATATATATATATATATATACATCTATATTTCATATATGTATATATATATATATATATATATATATATATATATATATATATATATATATACATCTATATTTCATATATATATATATATATATATATATATATATATACATCTATATTTCATATATATATATATATATATATACTAGGCATACTGCCTAGCTTCGCTTAGGTTTTTAAAAGGCATTTGAGAATTTGAATACTTAATTATTTAGCGATGGATTGGGTGTGGAGTGCTTTAATAAGTTTAATAAGTTTAATTTAAACAGTAATGCTAACTTTAGAAAAAATGTTTTTGTTAGTCATTTACATGTAGATTTGTAGCAGATTTTTGGAAAGTACGCAATGTATAACTAAAATGGAATTAGAACTACACAGGTTTCATGAACAGTATATCTCATAGTTTATATTACATTGCCTTTTGAAATTAATTAATTAATTTAATTAACATACTTAACTAAATTAACAACTTAATTTTGTACTAAAACAAATGCTATACTTCGTCATTTTCTGTTTCTGTTTAAAATAGTATACAATTATTTGAAAAATAATAATTTTAAAAACGTTACCTCCCTTGAAAACTGAACGTATGACGTATGTCATTGTTTACTTATATTGTTTGCTTATATAAGAAATTACGTTATATGAACTTATTTAACGACTATAATGGCTGTTTCCGACGGGAATAAAGTTTTTTTGTTTCGACGTCACATAATATTAAGGGGATCGTTCGTCAATTTATTTATATATATATATATATATATATATATATCTCATATAAGGAGAATTTCACTCAAGATCATCTTTTAGCCCTCGTCGAGGGCTTTGAGTCTGACCAACAGTTTTTCCATACGGCCTAGTCATCTATAGTAGTGTATGCAAAAACTTAGCATGATGTACAGACATTAAGTAACCTAAAAATTGTGTTAAAATTTCCCTGTTTTTCCCATAAAATACAAAGATTATATAGGGAAATACAACTGGTCAGTTTTGACCGCTTTACGAAGTTTTCCCAGAATTGCCGAGTTTTTTATGAAACCCCTAGGTGTTCTTCTACCACCTCACAAAATATCAAGGGGGGTCGTCGGAGGAAATTTTTTTTCGTAATAGAGCTCATATAAAGAGAATTTCACTCGCGGTCACTTTTTAGCCCTCGTCGAGGGCTTTGAGTGTAACCGACAGTTTTCCCTAAAGGTCAAGCCATTGACCAAGGAGCATGCAAAAAATTAGCCAGATATACTGAGCTTAAGTACCCTAAAGTCTGCGTTTAAATGACCCTCTGTTTTTCCCATAAAATACAAAGATTATATAGGGAAATACAACTGGTCAGTTTTGACCGCTTTCCGAAGTTTTCCCAGATATGCCGAGTTTTTTGTGACACTCCTAGGTGTTCTTCTACCACCTCACAAAATATCAAGGGGGGTCGTCGGAGGAAAAATTTTTTCGTAATAGAGCTCATATAAAGAGAATTTCACTCGCGGTCACTTTTTAGCCCTCTTCGAGGGCTTTGAGTGTAACCGACAGTTTTCCCTAAAGGTCAAGCCATTGACCTAGGAGCATGCAAAAAATTAGCCAGATATACTGAGATTAAGTACCCTAAAGTCTGCGTTGAAATGACCCTCTGTTTTTCCCATAAAATACAAAGATTATATAGGGAAATACAACTGGTCAGTTTTGACCCCTTTACGAAGTTTTCCCAGATATGCCGAGTTTTTTGTGACACCCTAAGGCGTTCTCCTACCACCTCACAAAATATCAAGGGGGGTCGTCGGAGGAAATTTTTTTTCGTAACAGAGCTCATATAAAGAGAATTTCACTCGCGGTCACTTTTTAGCCCTCGTCGAGGGCTTTGAGTGAGACCGACAGGTCTGCCCTCCGGTCAAGCCATTTTCCTATAAACATGCCAAAAATTAGCCAGATGTAAACAGGGTAAGTGCCCTAAAATCCGTTTTGAAATGACCCTCCGTTTTTCCCATAAAATACAAAGATTATATAGGGAAATACGACTGGTCAGTTTTGACCCATTTCCCGATTTTTCCCGGACATGGCGAGTTTTTTGTGACACCCCAAGGCGTTCTCCTACCACCTCACAAAATATCAAGGGGGGTCGTCGGAGGAAATTTTTTTTCGTAATAGAGCTCATATAAAGAGAATTTCACTCGCGGTCACTTTATAGCCCTCGTCGAGGGCTTTGAGTAAGACCGACAGGTCTGCCCTACGGTCAAGCCATTTACCTATAAGCATGCCAAAAATTAGCCAGATGTAAACAGGGTAAGTGCCCTAAAATCCGTTTTGAAATGACCCTCTGTTTTTCCCATAAAATACAAAGATTATATAGGGAAATACGACTGGTCAGTTTTGACCCATTTCCCGATTTTTCCCGGACATGGCGAGTTTTTTATGACACCCCAAGGTGTTCTCCTACCACCTCACAAAATTTCAAGGGGGGTCGTCAGAGGAAATTTTTTTTCGTAATAGAGCTCATATAAAGAGAATTTCACTCGCGGTCACTTTTTAGCCCTCGTCGAGTGCTTTGAGTCAAACCGACAGGTCCGCCCTACGGCCAAGCCATTTACCTATAAGCATGCCAAAACTTAGCCAGATGTAAATAGGGTAAGTGCCCTAAAATCCGTTTTGAAATGACCCTCTGTTTTCCCCATAAAATACAAAGATTATATAGGGAAATACGACTGGTCAGTTTTGACCCATTTCCCGATTTTTCCCGGACATGGCGAGTTTTTTGTGACACCCCAAGGCGTTCTCCTACCACCTCACAAAATATCAAGGGGGGTCGTCGGAGGAAATTTTTTTTCGTAATAGAGCTCATATGAAGAGAATTTCACTCGCGGTCACTTTTTAGCCCTCGTCGAGGGCTTTGAGTAAGACCGACAGGTCAGCCCTACGGTCAAGCCATTTACCTATAAACATGTCAAAAATTAGCCAGATGTAAACAGGGTAAGTGCCCTAAAATCCGTTTTGAAATGACCCTCTGTTTTTCCCATAAAATACAAAGATTATATAGGGAAATACGACTGGTCAGTTTTGACCCATTTCCCGATTTTTCCCGGACATGGCGAGTTTTTTGTGACACCCCAAGGTGTTCTCCTACCACCTCACAAA